TTATGTGGTATTTTATTACCCAATTATATTTTTATAAAACATCGTAAAATAAACACCTTTTGTTTAGTGAAAACAAAAAAAAAGCAAAATATTGTCTGCCTTTTTTTGGAAAAAAAAGACATATTTTATATATTTCATAATTCCAAACAAAAATATATTTTGGAGGCAAATTTTTTTAAAACTAGTCTACTAATCGCCCGTAATAAATAGGAGTATGTACCTTTTTTATTTATGTAGGTATATTAAAAAAGTATTAACCAAAATAAATGTATCATGTATTAAATAATCAACATAAAATTCATATTTAGTTTATATAATTTTTTTTAGCTTTTACATTTAAATTTAGACTAATATAAATAATGCACGTTAAACAAACATTTGTAAGACATATTATGATAAATTGTACCAAAATTTTATGACTTATTAACAAAAACGTTTAAAGGATAATTACAGGCAGTCTACTCTTAATCTGATAGATGTTTATTCAATTCACAACGATTAAGGTACATGAGTAAAGTAAAATATCAATTTGCTAATATTCTTTGAAACGTTATTATCAGTATTCTACTGACCTGAATCGAGAGATTAATATAATAAATATATATATTTACCATATGGAATTTATTAAAACTAGGACTCGAAGAAATCGAATAAAATAATATAGTCATTCAATTCGTAAATTTTGAATCAAATGATTTAATAGTCGCCTCTGTTCAAATCGAATAGTATACTAGAGGTCTGCGTTGGGAGGGTTTTTAGCCTGCCCACTCCCGCCCATACTTCGGACGGGCGAGGTCAGGTTTTATAAAATATTTTCAACATTGGGCAGGTGGCGGGCGGGTTAAAAAATAATAAATGAATAAAGAGTCAACCCAGCCTTAAATTAATTTTAAGCATTAGCCGGGCGGGCGGATTAAACAGAATTCAATAAATGGGCGAACGGGCGGGTTTAAGTGGAGGGGCGGGTTAAAAAATTCCACATGACGAGTTGGCGGGTTTCTTGGCTAAAAAAGCGCCCATTGCCGATCTCTATAATATAGGGAAAATGTGCCATAAATGGCCATGGGTGAAGACTGGCCACAACCCTTTATCTTTTTTTCTATTGGACCAATTTCTCTCAAAATTGGTCAAAATGTGTATATTTATGATATGTACTTTACCTACGTTCATTTATTGAATAGAGCAATTCAATAAAAAAATATTTAAAAAAAACTGTTTTTAGTTACTCTTTCTGGAAAAATCACGTTGCACATTTTTTTGTTTGGTGAAAATATAAATATTATCCTTAGGCATTTAGCATTTTTCACACAAAATATTAGACTTTAAAAACTTTATTTAATAGACATATAAAGGATCTTAATAATAATAAAGAGGTGAGTATTGACAGGCCATGTATTGATAGGCCACAATTAGCACATTCACATGTGAAAAGCTCTTGCAAAACAACATTTGGTGAAATAAAATGATGAACAAGCTTAAGAATGTTTAGTAAAATGATAATTAAGATATTAATTTATAATATTATCATTAAATAGATGTGGTAATAAATTGAGATTTTAATACTAATTAAATTAGTGCATAATTAATTTTTTATATAACTAAAAAATGCAGAAACATTAACATAGGTCTTTTACAAGTATTTCATATTGTATTATTTCATATTTATAATAAAATTCTTAAATAATATATTATGATCAGTTAACACATAGTATATAGTTGGCCAGAAAAACAACTTTCACATAATCTCATTTAGCTCATAAAGTATTTTTCATAGAGCTTTGATTCAAATTTTATTTTAAAGATTAATATTTAGGCTACACATTGATATAAAATTTGTTTGGTAAAACATAAATTTTAATACCTTTTTTTCAAAAAAGCAAAAACATGACCCTTCATGGCACATTTCCCTTACTATTAGTATTTGTACGAGTCAAATAATTATTTATTCCATTCGTAATTCTAATAATGTATTTTTTTTAATTTGAATAATATATTCTTTAATTAGATTCAGAGTTGTTAACGCTCCTTTTTAAAAGTAGCTAGCTTCCCCTCCTACCTTCTAAAAAGGAGGTAGCTCCCGCTACTACATTTTAAAGGAGCTAGCTCGCGCTCCAAATAATGGAGTGCCACTCCATAACCGCTCCTTTGATTTTCATTTTTTTAGAAGGTATACAAAACAAAATCATATTTTTTTTATAAAAAAGCTTTATTTATATTAAATGATCTATGAAAATATTGATAACCTTTTATTAGCTTTTAAAAGTAATAAATTTTCTAAATTAGAATCTAATAAACATCTACGCCTCTCCCCTAAGACCTGTTTTAGGCACTCCACAGGAGCACTAGAGGGAAGCGGGGTATTGTATCTTATAAAGATATTTTTTAAATCAAAAATTGTAATTTTGGTATCAATATTTAAAAAATATTTGTCCAATATATTATCTTCCTGATGATCAATTTCATGGAATCCAAAAAAATCTTCCAAATCAATTTCTATTTAAAAAAAAAGATTTTTTACTTTTAGATGCTTTTTTAGATTAAAGCTGCTTACTTTTTAAAATTAAATAGTTTTATTTAAACACAAAAGACATTTTGCCCTTAAATTTGTTTGATTATTTGGATCAACATCTTTTATAGTTTAAAATATTTTTTGTATGATGGAAATGGAAATTCGATTTCTTCATCTATGATCTCTAAATCCATAATATCTAAAACTATTTTTTATTATATATCTATAAAATGAATATTAATATGACTTACAAGATTTTCCAAAAAATTTTCAATATAAAAATAAAAACTTGATGTTTAATATTTAAAATGATTAGATGAAAAACCAATATGAAACTCGGCTAAATATTTAATAATGGAAAAATTTTAATTTAATTAAATTTCATTTTTATTGAATTTTAATTAATAAATATTATTAATATTTAAAAAATAATTTAATTTATAAATTAAATTTTAAGGAGTGGTGGAGCGGCGCTCCTCCACTCTAGCCCTAAAAGGTGCTAGCTCCTGCTCCTGCTACCCAATTTGGAGCGCCGCTCCTTAACAACTCTGATTATATTAATATTAAATAGATTAAAAATCTTCAAAATCTGGCATGTCCGAAAGCCTCCGAAAAATATAAGGGGCAGGGCCTGGTATAACAATTTTCAGGCCGGGTCAAATAACTTGTGCAATATTTTTTAACGAGAAATTATATTATTTTAAAAAATAATTTTTTTCAGATATTATTTATAATAAAAGAGATACCATTTAATCAAACATATAATTGCATATTTAATAAAAATAATTATTTTTGAAATAAATAAATATATAAAAAATTGTTATTCTTTCATTTCAGAAATATCGTTTTCTAATTGTTTTTTATTGAAATATTCCACTTATTGTTATCATATTTGTCCATATAAATTAGACCGTCACTAGATGTAGAAGGTTCTTATTGTTTCCTCTTCTACTTATTGCATAGTCTTAACATTTTCTAAATTTAAATATTGGTTCTGAGCAGATTTTTAAAAAGGCTAACTCCATCTGGAATAATATTATGCAGCCTGAAGATTTTTTTTATAGAAGGAACAAGGTTTGGACATCTATTGGCAAAATCTGGAGGCTTTGGCAATATTTTTCTGGCTAAAATATTGAGTTAACCGTTTTTAAAAATCAGCTCAAAACGAGCACTAGTTTTAATTAAGTTTTAGGGGAAAATAAACAAGAAGTATCTAACATAACCAAATGAATCAATACTCAGTGTAAATGTCAGAAATTGTATTATCTGATTACAGTGTCTTAAATAATATTTGAACGAAAAATTAGAATTACTATTTTGAAATAATTTACGTATAGTTCATACTAATAATTTAAATTTTATTCGTTAAAGAATTTATTATTATTAGAATCGAATCGAATTTTTGATATCGATTCTAATTTTTTGATATTGTTATACTCTTAAATTTCTAATTGAATAACAAATTTGGAATAATTTTCTATAGGCATAATTATAATGAACAAAATACGACAAATCAGTTGCGATATTTCACGAAATCTCGGCTTCAAAGCATTAGGTTAAGTACCTTACATATATTTGGAAGAAACTCACCTAGGGTTAGAGACTTACCTTCACTTGACGGGCCATAAATTTTGCTTAAAAATTATGCTGGGCCGGAATGGAGTCTAAAAATAAAGGCGGCTGGTTTAGAAAATAAATAGTTAATAAAACAATAATTACTCTTTTTTAATTTAATTTTAAAAAATTAATATTTTAATTGTCAATTATAAATTTTAAACCGGGTCTGTGTCTAAAACATATAGACTGAGTTGAACTAGTTTAAGAATCAAAAACAAAAAAATTGACCAGGCCAGACATTTTTTATAATTTGCAGGTGTCTGATCTAAGTTATAAATAAATGATGACTAGGGCTAAAAGCAAAACCCAGTTTTAATTTAGTCCAACTAACTACCGAAGAATTAAATTGCTAGCGGCCTACGTTAAAGTGTTACATTATCCTAGAGGTCTGCATTGGGCGGGTTTTTGGATAATATGCCAGCCCCCTCAATGTTTAAAAAAATTTTAACCCGCCCGCCCAGTCCGCCCATTGTTTTCAAAAAAAATATACCCGCCAGCCCGCCCATTAATCTAAAAATTTTTACCCGCCCGCCCATTATTTATAAAAAATTTTTTACCCAAGTCCGCTATTTTAAGCATCTAATGAAAATAGTTTCAACATTACATCTCTATAAGTTTTATAATTTAGGAAATTACTATATTAAGCTTAAAAAATATTCAATTTAAATTATGGATAATTTATTTTATCAAATAAAATATTTATAAAATATAAATATTATAAGTAATTATAATGCAAAAATAATAATGAATCCACATTTTCGGGATTCAAACACGTTCTTCTTTGTTCTAAAAACTTCCGGCAATGCTAAATCCTCAGAAGTAGCACTAGTTGCAGGAATTGCTAATATTTTTTTTGCTAATCTTGATAGCTTTGGCAAATCTTTTTCTTGTCGTTTCCACCAAAGTAGGACATCCTTTTGAAGTATATCCTCTTCCTCAATTGAAATCTTTAAATAAAAGTGAACCAATAATAATAAATTTATAAAAGTAATTTAAATTTATATTAATTGTAATATATGCATCTTAAAATTATGCTAAATTATACTTATAAAAAATGGTTACTTTAAGATTTAAATATTTTGTTATGTCATTATGTACGGTACTATCCTCAGTAACAACCTCATCCTCCCATCTGTTGGGGTTTAATTTTGATGTGGATGCTATTTATTTCAAATATTACATTTAATAAGTAGCTAAACGAATTTATAATTTATAAATACCTTTTAATTGGATTCTCTTTGCTTTTGGGGAAATGGGTAAAATCAAATTTTCATCTACATCGATGTTACATTCTTCTATGCAAATCAAATCTAACAAGTTTTCAATCTTTTTTTACTTCATTAATTTCTTCCGACGACAACATCCTCATTTGTCGGAACTTTGGTATTAAAAATGTTGAAACTTTATGAGCATATGAATTTTAAATTTTTCAATTATAAAATTTTTAGCTCTTTTCTTTATTATATCTATTTCTTTTTCGCATTTTGTTTTTCTCTCCATTATATTCATATTTATTTCATTACGCTCATGTAGAAGATTATACCTAATTTTTTTATAAATAAAGAAAAAATGGGCATATATCCGAAAATATTAATTTTCATACAATATAAGAACGTTCTGTAGTGTAGGCCTGCAATCACCCTCAAGAGCATTAGTTGCATCTTTATATGGTTCCAAATAATCTATCAGTGTTTTTAAATCTTCCTTTCCCATAGATCCCATTTTTTCAGTCATATCACGAGATTGTAAGAATAAAAAAATCTCATCATACATTATATAAATGCTTTGTAGCATATTATGCTTTGTATTCCATCTTATATCAATATTTTGTAGTAACGTCTTGCTTAGATATTTTACGTTGCTACTTTGTTTGAAATAAGTCGTCAATGATTTTGCAGTTACCAAAATATTATTAATCTCGGGAGCATTTTCTAAAATAAAAGTTGACTGGAAGGTATTACGAAGTAATGTGTTCAGCATATGTGCTGAACAGTTTAGTCTATTAAAGCTAATATTTGAAAAAATAAAAGGAAAATATAGATCTTTAAATATGAATGTTTTTTCTTTAGGTGTATATAAAATCTCTCAATTATTATAATATCTACCTAATAATTAAATTTTATTTAATAAAAAATTTACCCTTCCAAAGCTTTTTTAATATTTGCTCCTTGATCCGTAAAAGATGAGCTTGGAAAAATATTCTCGGGGAACACCAATTTTTAAAAATTTTTTTAATAATTCTTTAAGAATATTTTCTCCCGTCTTTTTCTCATCTTGAAATTTTGAAATAAAAAGAAATTTTTTTTCTAATTTCCAATTTTGTATATAATGGATTGATAGAGATATGTAATCGGTTTTGGTAAATTCTTCACACCACATATCAGTAGTACCATGAGCAAATGGAATTTTTTATCATTTCTACAATTTTAGGAAATAATATTTCCTTAAGATCCTCAGTAACTTTGGATACGTTGCGGCTAACTGTTGAAGCAGAAGGGATGATCTTATTAACATCCAATTTACCATATGTTGCCCCTAAGTCGGCAAATCTTTGTAAAATATGTATAAATCCAGGTCCTTGAACTGCTTGAAATGGCCCTAAAAAAGATAAAAGAATAATTTATTAAATTAAAATACCTAATGTCTCTAGCGCAATATTCTACAAAATTCGCTATTAGACCAGATTTTATCGTTTTGTTTAATTGAGAATTGTCTTTTTCAAAATATCCAGTTATTTTTTCATTATCTATCAAATCTTCATAATTTGCAGATGAACATTGATGCCGAAGGAAGAAGGAGGTGCCACTTTTGCTATTATATTTAAAGATGGACTCGCAATCATTGCAGCGAATCCAATCTAGATTTTTGTCATTTTCATCAAAAATAATTTTAAATTGTTTCCATATAGAGGATTTAAGTTTATTATTATTAACTTCATTGTTTTTTAATTTATAAATATTATTTTTTATTTTCTTAGCAATCAATTCTTTATTCATATTTTAAAATTAAATTAAAAAGCCTGGTTTATCATATTCGTTGAATTAATATTAAACTCATTAAGTTGCTTTAAATGCAATTAGTAAAGCTTTCAGCAGAAAGATACTGTAAATTAATAATCCCTATTGAAATAATATAATTAATTATGCTCAGGTTTTCACAACCTGATGCATCTTTTATAGACAATAAAAAGGCATCTCACTTTTGTTAAATTTATCTGAAATATAATCAAGGAGCATATCTACCATAATAGATATTACTTCGTTTTGAATCTGGGTGATGTATATCGCGTATTTTTTGTATACAAATTTCGTAATTTTATTTAATTCAGGATCTTTTTGGATGGTGTATGAAAACATTGCTATAATTAGTCCAGAAAGAATAAATTGTTTTCTACATTTGCAGCATCCGTAATTTTTGTTGAACCAGTCCCACGGAAAGGTAGCTCCTGTATGTTAAGAAATATCATGAAATCTTGATTTAAGATCGTAAAGATTACGTTTAATTTTTTGGCTTACCAAAATTGTTGTTATCTCACTATTTTCTTTATAATGCTAAAATATTCACCGCTGTTTTAAATAACTGGTTATATCGGGCTTAGATAATATTATTTTGTCTAAGATCTTAAACCGACCAAATCGAGATGTTTAGCAACACTGCACAATAATTACCAAATTTTATAAAAATTTAATAAGAACCTTTTTTATATTAATAAATATTTAAGAATCGGTATCAATCTGTTTCCTTAGATTTGATATATATATATCAAGCCTTGAGTAATCATTTTAGCTTCAGGAAATCCCGGTTTTTTATGATTTGCACCCAGATCTATATCAGAGACCTTCAAAAGATAATAATATTGTGATTGAGCCATAATAAATAAAATAATTATCATTGAAATAAGTATAATTTAAACGGTATACACCTATATAATGTTATATACAAACACACATGAAAATGATAAAATATGAATGAATGATGATTTATTATTGGAATAAAACAAGGATTGGAAGAAATTTACAAACAAGACATGTTTTTTGAATAAATATATAAAATTTATTTTAAAAATATAAAAATAATCAATTACAAAATTTTTTTTGAAATTTGGGGGCCCGAAAAATTTATGGGGGCCAAAGATTTTTTCTGAAGGACAAGTTTGGGGATTAAAAAAAAATTTTTGAGGCGGGGGGCTGCCCTCCCCCAGGGCCCCCTGTGGCTACGGCCTATAACTGGATAATTTAACTTAAATGAGTTTTAATGAAAATGCTTTTTTAGTAGATATACCCCTCCCCCCCCCCCACCCCACCCATAAATTATATTTTAATGTGCCAAAGTTTAATTTGGATTATAATTTTCAATTAAAAGTATTTATAAACTGTATACAAAGAAATTTCCGTAAACTACGCCTTCATGATAACTAATTTCTTATCTTCATTTTGTCCTAATATCCTTATTCAATAATTTTTATAATAAAAATAAATATTCGAAAGGCATAAAAATTGATATTTTCCATATTACCCCTTATAATTTTCCATATGCGATTTATTATAAATTTATATCATCGATACTTATTCGTTACTATTCGTGTTCATACTTACACCTAATATTTTTTTAATGTTTTGACTTTAAACAAATAAAATTAAACATTTTTTTTTTAAAAAATTGAATAAAATTTAGTGATCAAATAAATCAAGATTAAGTGTCGATTATCAAAGACTGAGTGATAAAAGTGTTGTCTTATAAAATGTAGTCGTGATAAAGTGTCGCAAGATAAAGTATGGTGTGATCGATTTCACCTAATCTTAAAACTGTATTAAGTTTGAAAATTATTTTGGGAAATTCTTTGAACAAATATTTATAAATAAATTGATATTTCATCATAGATTTTTATATGTAAAAATTACTAAAAATTTAATTATATATAAAAGATGTTTTATAAAAAATTTGGAACCCAAGGTAATTATTTTTTGTGGGATTTTCCTGCAAATCAATTTTCGCCAACCGGTGGCACATATCGACAAACAAAAGAAATTGATATTTAATATTGCTTATTACCTCGCAAAATGATTTCGTTCTTTTGTAGATTTTGAATATTCTTTATATGAACTTCAAAGGTATATATTACACGCCATTGGGAAGGAATTATGAATAATTTTATAAATAATATTATCAGTCTTCAATCTAAGATTTACTTTAGCTGGTATAAAATGAAATTTATTTGGGATCCTTTTATATGTTTTTGGATAAAATTGAATTAGAGTCTGCATGCAAAGGTGAGGTAAATAAATTACTCAATCTTCTAAATTTCCTTTGGTTATTCTAAAAAATAAATTCATATAAAAGATTTTTTTAACAGCGATGGCGCTAGTGTCATAAATTGGAAGAAATCTGACGGGAGGCTTTTGCTCACTTAACCCTTGGCACTATTTAAATCACCAGTTGGAATTGACAAAAGAGAATTGCTAAACTCCCCGTTTCTCAGTACTCAAGGGGTACTAAAATTTAAAAAAAAATAAGCGAAAATGTCTTTAAATTTTTTACTTTGGGTTTTGTATTTTTAATATTTTTTGAGGGGGACTATTTAAAATTTTGATTAGTTCGAGCCTCTAATAGCCCATCCCTAGGGGTGGCACTAATTTAAGCTTTTATGGACACAATTAATTCATAGCTATAGCCTACATAGCCACACTAGTTAAACTTCTAAATTGAGAATTCAGTTGCGTGGATAAATACTTGAAGTTAGTGTTGTTAAACGGCTCGTTTTGAGCCGGTTTTTATAAACGGCTAATTCAAAATTCTAGCCAGAAAAATATTGCCCAAGCCTCTAGATTCGCTAATTGATGTCTAGACCTTTGTGCCATCTATGAGCAAAATCTTCAGGCTTGCGTAATATTATTCTAGGTAAAATATTGAGTTAGCAATCGGCTCAAATCGAGCTATTTAACAACACTACTTGAAGTACGATGGATTACCCAGTCTCTAGACTGTAAAGAAAGTAAAGATTATTGCATTAACTCAAAATATAACGAATATTAACAGGATGCTCTCCAGTTGTAAGTAAATTTTTATTAGATCACAACTGATTTAAATGTTTTGTTTGAATTACTCTTTCAGTATACAAATAACAAAAAAACAATAAAGCAGCATGCTAAAATAAATATAGACAAGTGTAATACAAAAATTTGGATTGAGATATTGTAGAAAATAAGAAACATTATTATCATAAGAAACGTCTTATTTTGAAGTATTTATAATATCCAACCTTAAAATATTCGTCATAAGGATTAAGGAGTATTATATTATACAGCTTTGCTTGTAGCTAAAAACTCGATACCAATCTTATAAATCAATCTATTAGAAATTGAA